CCCCCCCCCCCCCCCCCCCCCCAAGAAACACTGCAATGCTCTATGCTGCTATGCAGCCAAGGAGAGAGAATCGAGAGGACCTGGGGAGCAATACTGTAACAGAACCACAGAAGGCAAAGGAGAAAAGGGGATTTCCAGTAGAAAGCTGGGTAACACTAACCTTCCCGAGGAGCACATATTTCATTCGAGTTTGGGCCCTAAAGCACAAACCTACAGGTAATCAATCACTGCCTCCTCCCTAAAGCAGCAAATGCATTTAATTGGTGTTCCTGGAAGTAAGCAAAACTCTCAAAACTCCTCCACAGGACAATTTCACCAAAGGGATTTCACACCGATGGAAAACTTGTTCCATGTGCTAAATCACAATCTCTGTTCGCGATAATGTTTCCAACTGCCCCTCCTACTCCCTGTAACCTCCCACCCCCACCCTAACGTGACCCCTTTGCACTCCCACTGCCAGACACCCGCTTTAGTCCCCACACCATGCCCGGACCTTTGCATGCAGGAAGAGCCCCGCCTAGGGCCCGATTCTCCAGACCACCCCTCAGCCCCACCCATACCTCCTGACTGTACACCCTAATGCTCACCTCAGCCTCACATCAACTGACCCCCATAAAGCCTCTGAAAACGACCGGAGTTCTCCTACACTCCCACACCCCACCCAGGGCCTCAGACTGCGGCCGACCCTCGACCTCCGGCTCAGCCCCATCCAAAGCCCAATGCATGTCGCTCGGCACCACCGCCCCGGCCCCCAAAGCTGGACCTCTCCACTCGGCCTCACTCCAAGGACCCCCTCCCCTAGATCGCGCCTCAAAGACTCCGAAGGTCACGCCCGCCGGCCCCCTCCCTCGGACGCCCCCGCGTCTAGCAGGGTGGCGGCCACCGCCCTTCCACGCCTCCGGCGGCCCCATAGGGGCCCTGGCTGCCGCGGGACGAGGCTCGGGCGGCCCCAGGACAGTGAGGAGGCCGCCCTTCCGATAGGACCCCGCCTGCGGCCTCACCTACCCGCCGCCGCCGAGCCGGAGCCGGAGCCGGAGCAGGAGGGAGCCAGGAGAGCGCCGGGAAGAGCCGTGAGGAGCTGGAAGACGTCGGGAGGAGCCGGGAGCCAGCAAGCTAGCCGAAGGGGCGGGGCGCAGGGAGGCGGCTGCTTCCTCGTCGCCCTCTTGAGGGCAGGCGCGAGAGAGGGACGCCGCCACCGCCTACCCGGCGGGCGCCGCCACTTCGGCCAATAAGCGTAGCGAGGGGGCGGGCAGAGGGCTGCGACGGACCAATGGTACTAACCCCGCCGCCACGCTCTCTCTGCAGAGCTGCGCGAGCGGCGGGCCGTTGAGGGGCGAAGTTCGTCTGGGGGCTACATGCTCCGGCCTCGGGCCTGAGAATGCCGAAGCGGACGGCAGGCCGACCGTCTGCCTCCGCTGTTGATGGCCGTCGCTCTATCTTAGAGCCTGGGCGCCTAGAGCGGAGAAAGTGTGGGAGTCGGCGCGCACGCTGCCGGCGGGACCTGTGAGCTCTGTGATGTAACCTGGGAGGGGCGCGGGGCGGGGCCTAGGTCGCGGGCTCCTGGGCTCTAGAAGTAACCCTTAGTGGGCCGGGAGGATGCGCCTGTGTCCTCTGCAGGGCTTCGCTTCCGCGAGACACATGTGGCTGGTGACCTCTGAAACGTGGCTGGCCCAAGTTGAGATGTGCTGTAAGTGTAGAATACACACCAGATTTCCAAACTTAGTACACAAAAAAAAAAATTTTTTTTAAATGGTTACAAGTGTGATAATTTTAACAAAATTGATGACAGTTGGGGTATATTTGGTTAAATAAGATATATTGGTCCGGCCGCGGTGGTGCACGCCTGTAATCTCAGCACTTTGGGAGGCCGAGATGGGCGGGTCACTTGAGCTCAGGGGTTCGAGACTAGCCTGGGCAAAACAGCAAAACCCTGTCTGTACCAAAAATTAGCCGGGCGTGGGAGCGTGCGCCTGTAGTCCCAGCTGCTCAGGAGGCTGAGATGAGAGAATGGCTTGAGCCCAGGTGGTGGAGGTTGCAGTGAGCCAAGATTGTACCATTGTACTCCACCTTGGGCTCCTCTGAGTAAATACCAAGGAGACCAATTGTTGGATCATATGAGAGTACGTTTAGTTTTGTAAGAAGCTGCTGAACTGTCTTCCAAAGTTGCTGTATGTTTCGCATTCCCACCAGCAATACATGTGAGCTCCTGTTGTTTCACATTCTTGACAGCACTTGGTGTTGTCAGTGTTCTGGCTTTTGGCCATTCTAATTAGTAGCTGTGTTGTAGTATCTCATTTTTGTAGGGTTTTTCTTTTCTATCTCATTTTCTTATTGATTATTGGTATATATGCTGTTATGACTTTTTGTATATTAACTTTGTACCCAGTAACCTTGCTGAACTCTTTTTTTTTTATTATTTTAATGGAGTTTCGCTCTTGTTGCCCAGGCTGGAGTACAATGATGTGATCTTGGCTCAATGCAGCCTCCACCTACCAGGTTCAAGCAGTTCTCCTGCCTCAGCCTCATGAGCAGCTGGGATTACAGGCGTTAGCCACCACGCTTGGCTTATTTTTGTATTTTCAGTAGAGATCGGGTCTCACTAATGGTTGATCAGGCTGGTCTCGAACTCCTGACCGCCGGTGATCCACCTGCCTTGGCCTCCCAAAGTGCTGGGATTATAGGCGTGAGCCACTGCACCCAGCATGAATTTTTTTTTTTTTTTTTTTTTTTTTGCAGATGGAGTCTCACTCTATCGCCAGGCTGGAGTACAGTGGCAGGATCTCAGCTCACTGCAACCTCTGTGTTCCGGGTTCAAGCGATTCTTCAGCCTCAGCCTCCTGAGTAGCTGGGATTACAAGCGCATACCACCAGGCCTGGCTAATTTTTGTATTTTCAGTAGAGATGGGGTTTCACCATGTTGGCCAGAATGGTTTCAATCTCTTGACCTCGTGATCCACCCATCTTGGCCTCCCAGAGTGCTGGGATTACAAGTGAGCCACCACGCCTGGCTGTCACTAAGCTATTAATAGTAAACTCTGTAAGTGCTTGCTGAGTACTAGGCACCAATCTAAGCACTTTACACATGTAACACATTTGATCCACACAACTCTCATGAGGTAGGTACTATTATCTCCATTTTACAGTTGAAGAAACGGAGGCACACAATCAAATATCTTCCACAAGCTCATATAACTTATAAGCAGCAGTGCCCAGATTTGCACACGAGGAATCTGGGTTCAATCTTTTTTCGTTTTTTTGAGACAGTGTCACTCTGTCACCCAGGCTGCAGTGCTGTGGTGAGATCTCAGCTTATTGTAACCTCTGTCTCCCAGGCTCAAGCAATCCTCCTGCCTCAGCATCACCAGTAGCTGGGACCACAGGTACATGCGCCTGGCCAATTTTTTTTTTTTTTTTTTTTTGAGACGGAGGGTTTTTCTTTTTTCCCACGCTGGAGTGCAGTGGCACGATCTCGGCTCACCGCAACCTCCGCCTCCTGGGTTCAAGCAATTCTCCTGCCTCAGCCTCCCGAGTAGCTGGGACTACAGGCATGCACAATCATGCCCAGCTAATTTTTGTATTTTTAGTAGAGACGAGGTTTCACCTTGTTGACCAGGATGGTCTCGATCTCTTGACCTCGTGATCCACCCGCCTCTACCTCCCAAAGTGCTGGGATTACAGGCTTGAGCCACCGCGCCCGGCCCGAATTTTTTTAATTTTTTGGTAGAGATGGGTTTTTGCCATGTTGCCCAGGCTGGTCTCGAACTCCTGGGCTCAAGTGATCTGCCCTCCTTGGCCTCCCAAAATGCTGGGATTATCATCGTGAGCAACCCTGCTCAATCCAGAGTCCATTTTAACTACCTTAGTATGCTACTTCTAGATCATTCTGTTAGTGAGTCTATGAGAGAGGCTAGTGACTATTATCTCATTTTTATAAATGAGGCGATGGAGGCTTAACTTCCCTAGGGCTACACAGCTTGAAAATAGCAGAGCTGGACCTCAGACCCAGGGCTTTCAACCAAACTAGCGTTCTTTCTGGTAATAGCACACTCTAGAGTTTGAGTATATGGCCCCAACACGTGGCTACCTGAATTAATGCTCACTTGCTAAATATTGGCTTGCTGACATTAGATACGTTACCAAACTTCTGTGTGTGTTTCCTCATCTGTAAAATGGGAATTAGAAACCATATAAGATTGTTGTATGATTAAATGAATTAGTAACTGTCATACTTACAGGAGTGTCTGGGGCCTGGCACAGCAGCTCACACCTGTAATCCCAGCACTTTGGGAGGCCAAGGCAGGTGGATCACTTGAGGCCAAGAGTTCGAGACCAGTCTGGCCAACGTGGCGAAATGCTGTCTGTACTAAAAATACAAAAATTAACCAGGTGCACTGGTGCGCACCTGTAACCTCAGCTACTCGGAGGCTGAGGCAGGAGAATCGCTTGAACCAGGGAGGTGGAGGTTGGAGTGAGCCTGTATCACACACCACCACACTCCAGACTGGGCAACAGTGAGACTGTCAAAAAAAAAAAAAAAAAAAAAAAAAAAAGTCCCTGGAATAGTAAGCACTCAAGAGATGTTAGCTATCATTATTTATTCTGGACCAGCACTATCCGGTAGAATATGTAAACCAAATATAATCTTCAGATTTTTAGCAGCCACATTTTAAAAGGTTAAAAGAAACATGAGGGCTGGGCGCAGTGGATCACACCTGTAATCCCAGCATTTTGGGTGGCCAAGGTGGGCGGATCACCTGAGGTCAGGAGTTTGAGACCAGACTGACCAACATAGAGAAATCCTGTCTCTACTAAAAATACGAAATTAGCCAGGCGTGGTGGAGCATGCCTGTAATCCCAGCTACTAGGGAGGCTGAGGCTGGAGAATCGCTTGATCCCAGGAAGCGAAGGTTGCAGTGAGCCGAAATTGCACCATTGCACTACAGCCTGGGCCACAAGAGCAAAACACCATCTCAAAAAAATAAAAAGAAAAGAAACGTGAGCACTGGGCGCCGTGGCTCACGCCTGTAATTCCAGCACTTTGGGAGGCCAAGGTGGGTAGATCACAAGGTCAGGAGTTCAAGACCATCCTGGCTAACACAGTGAAACGCCGTCTCTGCTAAAAATACAAAAAATTGGGCCGGGCGCGGTGGCTCACACCTGTAATCCCAGCACTTTGGGAGGCCAAGGCGGGTGGATCACCTGAGGTCAGGAGTTGAAGACCAGCCTGGCCATCAGGGTGAAACCCCATCTTATAAAAGAAAAAGTTAAAAAATATATATACAAAAAATTAGGCCAGGTGCAGTGGCTCACGCCTGTAATCCCAGCACTATGGAAGGCCGAGGCAGACTGATTGCCTGAGGTCAGTAGTTTGAGACCAGCTTGACCAACATAGGGAAATCCTGTCTCTACTAAAAATACAAAATTAGCTGTACGTGGTGGAGCATGCCTGTAATCCCAGCTACTAGGGAGGCTGAGGCTGGAGAATCACTTAATCCCAGGAAGCAGAGGTTGCAGTGAGCCGAAATTGCACCGTTGCACTACAGCCTGGGCCACAAGAGCAAAACTCCATCTCAAAAAAATAAGAAAAGAAAAGAAACGTGAGCACTGGGCGTGGTGGCTCACACCTGTAATCCCAGCACTGTGGGAAGCTGAGGTGGGTGGATCACAAGGTCAAGAGTTCAAGACCATCCTGGCTAACACAGTGAAACACCCGTCTCTACTAAAAAATACAAAAAATTAGGCCAGGTGCAATGGTTCACGCCTGTAATCCCAGCACTTTGGGAGGCCGAGGCGGGTGGATCACCTGAGGTCAGGAGTTTGAGACCAGCCTGGTCAATGTGGTGAAACTCCGTCTTAAAAACAAAAAAATTAGCTGTGCATGGTGACACACACCTGTAGTCCCAGCTACTCAGGAGGCTGAGGCATCCAGTATCGCTTGAACCCGGGAGGCAGAGGTAGTGAGCCGAGATTGCACCACTGCACTCCAACCTGGGCGACAAGAGCGAAACTCCATCTCCAAAAAAAAAAGCAACGGGTCTCGTTATGTTGCTCCGGATGTTCTCAAACTCCTGGACTCAAGAGATCCTCCCACCTCAGCTTCTTGAGTAGCTGGGATACAGGTGTGAGCCACCACATCCCACACCTGGCTAGCTACCTTAATCTTTGATTTCCTGTAGTGATCAAAATGAATTCCTATCTCTTAAAGCCATCATTGGTCAATAAACCCCTATTGGTGTAAGCCACCATTAGTATCTGTCATTTGCAGCTAAATGCAATGCCAACTGATAAGTGGAGTAAAAGCCTTGTACTACAAGTTGAGAAACCTCATTACTTTCCCAGCTCTGCCAGGAATAAGCTTTGTGGCCTTGGGCAAGCCATTTTCCATCTCTGGGCCTCAGGTTTCTCATAGATACTGGGGAAGTAGAACAGAATGATCTTTCACCTCTTACTTTCTTTGGTCTCATTCATTGTTCATGCTGTATAATGTGTA